TTCCGCTGCATTTTTACAATGAAGCCAATTTAAGAATTCGTATTATCACCCTGTAGCAAATGCACTGTAAGGCAAGAAGACGTGATGCTGGATTTTCCTGTGATCGCAGAGATAAATTGTAACACTCTGTAATTTTGTTTGTATGTACAAGATATCCGTTCAGGAAGTTTCCTTGTACTAAATACATTTGGGAGATTTACCTCTGTGCCTGGGGGTGAGAGGGGCAATGTTTGCAGACAGCTGTGAAGGGGTGACCCAGCTGGAACTGGAGTCCAGGAGGATCGGTCTGCTCTGCCCGCCCTCCAGGTGTCCCAGTCCTTGAGACACACACGCTGTCCTTCACTGCTCAGTGGACACAGCGGGAGGGCGCGGCCAGTTTGATATTTTCCTGAGCACCTTTCCACTCATCTCCACAGGGCGAAGAGCAATACAACCGTGTTAAGGCAGAAGTAACTTCTTAATCTCTCTTACCGTATTTCTCGGCTGCCCTTCATTGTCACCCAGCCCCTGCCGAGACCTGACGTCTCTGCAGAAGCAGTATTTCCTCCCGGGAGCTGCCTGTGCCGCGTGCGTGCCACGCAGAGCACGCTGGGTGGCCGTGCTTACCTGCTGGTAGCTCCACAGCGTCCGAAGACGGCGTCAGAGATCGAGGTTCTCCTTGCAGGAAAGGAACGGCGCCGAACGGGTTAGCATCGAAACAAGCACCTAGCTTCCATGTGGCCATATGAAGTCCTCCCTCAGCGAGCTCTCCTCACACGTTTCCCCGGCCAGTCCCCTTACCCGTGTGTATATGTTGCACTTCGTACCTTGTTACATCAACACTGTGAAGTAGAATTAAGAAAAGCTGAGTAAGAAACAAGGTTTCCAGTAGGCCACCATTGTCAAGGAGAGAAATAGACTCTGCACAGTAATCCCCACCCAGACTGAGAAAAAGAGGGAATCGCCAAAGCTGATAACCAAACAGACGGACATGACAAGTTGTGAGAGGACAATCTACCCACACGTGTGTCCCTTCATGTCACAGAGGAGCCCAGGAGTCCTGCCCAGAAGGATGAAACGATTCGCCTGACCCGAGTTTCCAGCTTCAGCACTATTACATTCCGAGCTGGGTAGCCCTTCCGGTCGGGGGCTGTGCTGTGCCCTGGACAGGGTTTGGCAGCTCCTCTGGCCTCTTCCTTCTAGAAGCCAGTGGCACCCTGCCCCCCTCCGGTTGTGACGGCAGCAAGAATGTCTTCCAGCCCCTGCCAGGGGCCCCTTGGGAGAGAGAGGAGGTGCGACCACCCCAGCTGAGCACCACTGGTAACCCATGGACGTCTCTGACGTGAGGGTCTAAGAGTCCCCAGAGCAGAATCCCCAGGGTGGGGCTCCTTGCTCACCGCGCAGCTGGGGTCCATGTGGAGTGCTGCCCGCTAGCTGTCGCCAAACACACCGATGATGGATGGGACTGGGAACGGGGCTAGACTCCCGCCTCCTGGTATTTCTGTTGCACCTCAGTTCCACTCAGACCGACAGACGAGCACAGCCGGGCAGCCGGGCCCCTCTGCAGCCTGGATCCACTAATGCCCCGGGTCCGGGTCCGGGTCTGGCTGGGTGTTGGGCTGGAGTGCACTTGCCAACGCAGGACGGCATGCTTCCTCGAGGAGAGTGGGTCCCCCTGGCCTCCAGAGCGAGCTGTGAGGTGTCCGGGCGCAGAGCAAGCATCAGCTGCTCAGACCTCAGGCCTCGTGGCTGGGCTCCCCCACGGGCTTCCTCCAGGAGCCTCGGCTTTCAGCAGCTCTGACAGATTCCGATCTGAGCCATGGGTCTGCCTGCGGCATCAGTTAAAAAAGGACCGAGCCCTGTGGAGGCGGCTGATGAAACGGCTGGTCTAGCTGCTCCTGACTCCAATTCCTCTGGGAACAAGGTCCTGCCCTGAAGGCCAGTGTATCAACATTTTGTTGTGCTGCCCACTCAGACCTCTGCCCCTCTCCACTTGCACTGAAAACCTGGCCCGGGGCCACTTTCTGGAGCCCTTCTCCCAAATGCTGCCCACCGACTGACGTGTGAGTACAGTCCTCAGACCCCATGCTCCTCGGGCAGGAGTCCTGCTTTCTCTCCTCTCGTCTACCAGTGGCGGCTGGGCGTCCGCCTGTCCCTCTGGTCTCTGTGGTCTTTGTGATGCACCGCCCTCATCCCCGACACGCCCGGTCCCAGCCCAGGCTTCTCTCTGGAAGCTCCTGATATTCAGGCACCCCCCCCCTCCCCGAGTCAGCAGAGAGTCCGTGTCGACTCTGGGTCAGCAGCGTATTTCCAACCCCTGAAAAAGTTCTAGAGATTCTGCCTCTCACAGCTTCACTCTTTCCAGATGTTCAAAATTATTTCCAACCAAATCCTGCTGTACCCTGGAGTCTTATTCATATCAGAGCCTAAGAATAGTTCCCCTTCGTGCACCTGTACAGTATGTTTAAATTAAGCTTACAGATGGCATGCATAAGTTATTTTACTTTATGTTATTATTTGAGAAGCACAAACATATTTGTAGATTTTTTCTATGGCCAAAAATAAGCTTCCTGAGGAATGTGGGTTTTCTGTGGTTTGCATTTTACTTCTTTTACAGCAGTTCCCCTATTCTGAAATTGCGTGGCCCCTGGTGATTGGGGTGGAGTCCCCATGGAACCTTGGCCATGTCGTAAAGCTGCGGGATTTTCCATAAGCTCATCCTGCCCTAGATGTGTGCCCAGCACTATGCTGGGCATCAAGGGGACGCATATCTCCCCAGCATGAAAGAGGTCAGAGTCTGGTGAATACCCCTCCCCCCAAACAGAGGCTGCCATGGATGTAGGCATGGGGCCGGGAGGGCGGAGGGGGGCATTTCCTGGCCCGAGAGTCAGGGGACACATAAGGAAGACCTCTCGTTTCAGACGCTTGTAGAAATAACAGGAAGGAGGCAAGGGCCTGCAGGGGCACGACGTGGGGGGCCCACAGCGATGTCTGTGGGAGTGTCCGTGTGGCTGCTGGGCGTGGGTGGTCCAGTGAAGTGACGGACTAGAGAGGATGGTGCCGAACGAGGCCAGGAACGGCCAAGAAGAGGCACAACGAGGCACTCGGGACTCGGCACTGCAGGAGCGGAGCCGGTTCATAGACATCATTGCTGGAGCTCAGACTGCACTGACTTGGGGCCCGGGAGGATCGTTGTCCTGTCTGGAAGACGAGCCCAAGGGGCGCCCTTGCACAAGACGGGCCACAGAGGGGGCCGAGTGTGGAGCGGGAGACCGGGCTGTGGAGGAGAAGCGATGCCCCACACCCAGGAGGGTGTGGGCGGTCAATAGGAGCGGCGTGGAGTCATTCCCTGACAGCTCTGGAGCTATAGGAAGGGGGCCTGTCACGGAAGGTGGAGAAATAGAATGAAGTCACCCAACAGTGAAGGTAGGGGGAGCAACCATTTCAAGAAAGAAATGGGGCTCAACACAGTCACAAACTTGGGGAGTTGAAAAATGGGCCTTTGGATTCAGTGCTTGGAGGCCCTTGGGCAGAGCCGACTGTGGGCCAGGGGGCACACCTCTGTGGATCCCTACGGATCCAGGACCGAGGTTGGCAGGGTCCATGAGGGTGGGCTTAAGAGGCGGGTGGTGAGTAGGGAAGGAGGTAGAGTCCAGCAGAGCACGGGGTCTGGTGGCTTCTGAGGTTTAGTGCAAGGGAAGGTGTGGGAGCCAGTGAGGAGGAGAAGGAACAGGGGAGTGCAGTGGCTGGAGGGAGGGTCTCAGAGGCAAGAAGACCCAAGCACAGCAAGGTGCCCAGGTGAGCACACTTGTGATTCTCTGAAACCAGATGGACACAAAGGCCTTCTTACACCCACCGAACTAGTTCAGCCGCTTTGACAGCAAGGGCAGCACAGCTCAGGGATGAGGGTGTCCAGCCGCCCTGGCAAAGGCAGGGATTCAGGCAGAGGCGACGTGGGGTTGGAGGATGGTGCCCAGGACGCAAGATGAGGGGGAGATCCTGGGAGGGCGGAACGGTGCCCCTCAGCAGAGAGAAGGCCAGCGAGCAGCATGGCTGTGGGCCCCCAGCAGCCTCTGCCCAGGAGGCCTGCCCACGTATCCTTAAAACAGTGGTAAGTGTGTCTGGGCTGGGGAACCTGCTATGCACATCGCTGAATCTCTGAATCTCCTAGAATAATGCCTTGAACATGGTCCGTGTTCAGTCATTTTCCTTTAGAGGTTGATCAACATTGGGGGAAAAAATCTTTAAAGTAAAAAAGGTGATTTCTGATGTTCCTCTCATGCAGACAGAGTTCGAAGCCTGCGCTTCCAGTAACTGCCCTCCTCCGTCTGTTTTCCACCTTCCCAAGTCTCTTCCGATGCATTCATTTAAAAATGTATCCACGGCGTAAATCTTCATGTGCAGTTTTTATGCCTTCAAACCCAGATCATCCTGACACGACAAACTCATTTTGTTCTGTCACTTGCTGATTTTTATTTGGAATGACACTTGAGGTTTTACTTATTAGGAGAACCTATTGACCCAGGTCACACCGTCACTGAGGGAGATCGCAGGAAACAGGCGAGCGCGTTAAAATCCCCAGGAGCAGAAGAGCGGAAACGACGTTGATGAACAGCTTCCTGTGCGTCTAACCTTTTTTCATACACAGGTTCTCCTTATAAAGATATTCCACCTCTACCTGGATAGAGCTGAGTAGGTCCTGCTTTACCGCGGTGCGACAAAATGAGCATCGCCCGTGACGTTGCCCTGCATGAAAATGGGGTCGTGGCTGCTATCTGTCCCGCTGAGTCCGCAGTTACTCAGTGGTCACTGTTGCGGCATTTGGGGCGCTTTCTAATTCCCCACTCTTGTGAGTATATCTGCGTGGACCGTCTCTGAGCGCAGGGGTGCCCCAGAGTTTGCCTTATCTTCTCAGGCCCCACATTCTGCAAAGGCTCGTGGGTCATGGGCAGTGAAGGGTGGACCAGGTTTCCAGGGAGCGGAGGATGCTTCCGCTGATGGCACGTTGACTTTCCTTACAGCCGTCTCCTATGCGAATTACAAGAAAACGCCGCCGCCCGTCCCCCCACGCACCACCTCCAAGCCTCTGATCTCGGTGACCGCACAGAGCAGCACGGAATCCACGCAGGATGCCTACCAGGACAGCCGCACGCAGCGGGCGTCCCCGTGGCCCCAGGATAGCCGCGGCCTCTACAACTCCACGGACAGCCTGGACAGCACCAAGGCCATGAGCCTTGCCCTGGAGACGGCCGCGGCCCAGCGCCTTGCCTCCGACAGCCAGAGCAGCTCCGTGCGGACCAGCGACAAGGCCATCCTGGTGTCCAAGGCCGAGGACTTCCTCAAGAGCCGGCGCTCCTCCATCGGGATCCAGGTAGCCTCCCTGTGCCCCGCGGCCAGGCCGCCTGCCCCCGGGCTCCGCAAATAGCGTAGACTGAGACGCAGCGACCCTGCGGCCCGGGGTCCTTAGCAGGGAGAGGCGAGAGCGAGGTCTCAGCTGCGGGGCCAGCCGGCAAGTCAACAGCCGGGGGACCGCCCCAGGGCATCTCGGGTCCCCGTGTCACGCCTGCCCCTGCCACCCAGACACCCCCACCCCAGGGCACTTTCTAGGGGCCACCTGCTGCTTACCGAGTGTGGAGACAGCTTGTTTTGATACTTCGGAAGGATGGTTCCTTGGTTGAAACCCAGTTTTTCAAAAGCCTTTCAGTCTTGTGCCCCAACAGCGGAGTGGGGGGGGAAAGGGCATTGGGAATATAGCGGTAGAAGTTTGAAAAGGCCTCTTTGGTGCAAAACTGAGGCGTGCTCACAGCTGCTCAGGCCAGGACTGCAAGAAGGCACTTCTTTCACCGGCCACAGGGCACTCTGGGTGTTTAGTTGTGGTGGTAGAGCCGGGCCCCGTGGTTGCAGACCACCGCGGGCTGACCCACACCCGCTGAGGCCCCAGACTTCTCCCCGAGACACAGACTTGATGTCTCGGGGCGGCCCCTCACTGCGTCCGGCTAGCCCGCTCCCCAGCCCCAGCACGGCGTGGGATACGCCTCATGCTGACAACGTCTTGTCTCGGCCACTATCCCCTATGAGATCGCGTTGCACAGCAAGGCAGTGTCCTTGCCGAGTCCTTTGCAAGCGTGGTCCACTCTTGCTTCCTGTCACCCCTCCACTCGGCCTGTGTCCAGCCGGAAGTCCCAAAACCAGAAGGCTTCGTGGCCAGGGAAGAGGGTGAGCGGAGCTCTGCCTGAGAGCCACGCATGCTCGGTGCTGGCGTGAAGGGGCTCGGCGTCCTGGGCATCCTGGGGACATGGGAGAGCAGGCTGGGGCGCCTGCCCGCTTGACTAGGTCCTCTGAACCAGGTCTCCACACTGTGGCTTCGTTGTTTTGTTTAGGATTCTGAATTCCCAGAGCATCAGCCATACCCAAGGTCAGATGTAAGTACCAAAATATACTCCAAAGCCAAGTACGCATGAATTTTTATTTTATCTCCCTTTTTTGGATTATTCATACAACTGCTCTGTCACCTCTCTCTGTCCTGATTCTATATGCCAGGCACTATGCTAGGTGCCCCCATATTACTGCAGGGAATCCTCATGTCCCCCAGTGATGTGTAATTAGCCCCACATTGATGAGGACCAAGATGGGGCTCAAATAGGGACGTAAGTCGCTGCGGCCAACAGGCTTGCCGGGGCCGTAGCGCTAGTCTGTGGGAGGCCAGGGTTCAGACGCCGGTCCCTCTGGCTCCAAAGTCATGTCTCCAGAGAAGATGTGCGAGGTACGCAAGTTAACAAGGCCGACTGCACATTCCAGGTGCTCGTGTACCCTCTGGCCTCTCCCCTGCAACCTGACACTGGCTCCCTCTTGGCTGCCCCCACCAGCCCGGGCAGGACGAGGCTGGGGGTGTCATCTTCTGGCTTTATCTGAGCAGAACAGACCTGGGAGCAGCGGGTCATCAGCGGGTCGGGGGCGCCACCCCTCCTCCCTGCACTTCATCGCCCAGAAGCCCCAACACCTGTCCTTGCCCCCTGGCCCTTTCTGCTTCCAGCAACCACGCCTTTCCTCCGTGGGAAGGTCCTTCCTCCCCTGCCCTCCGCTCCCTGTGGCTCACGCGTTGACCCCTCCCCGGAAGCCTTTCTGGCACTGCCCCCCACACCGCGTGTCTGTGAAGGCCCGGCTGCCCCCCGCCTCTTCACCACCCAGCGCCTAGCACAGTGCCTGGCACATAGCAAGTGCTCGGTCAATGTTGGATAAGTGGGTGCGCGGGTGACGGTGGGTGAGTGTTCCATGAACACCAGTGTGAGTGCACGTGTGCAAAGGGTCCGCTGTCTTCCGTGGCAGTAAGGGAATGCACAACATCATGTGAGCGTGTACCGTTGCCATTATCAGACTGACGTGGATTGAAGAGCCAATAGAAAACATGGCCAGAGAAGCTCAGGTATTAGAATAAATACGAGTCAAAGAGATGAAACGCAGCCGAGCGTAGGGAGCCAACTCACAGCGAAGCACGAAGAACCAGAGTGAGGGAGACTCCCCCGGGACATGTAGAGGCCCTGGAGGACTGGCTGTGAAGGCATGACTCAGAAATAACAGAGAAGCAGGCTCGTGGACATTGCCGTGTCTCGGGCTCTCCAGCACGTGCTCCTTTTAACCTCGTTGTAACCCCAGGGGCCAGTCATTATCCAGGTTACCAAAGGGGAAACTGAGGCTCAGGGATAAGTGACTTGCCTAGAGGGTCACAGCCGTGACACTCACAGGCAGGACAGAGGGCAGCTTTGTTGCAAAGCCTGCAGGGCACCTGCTTCCCAGAGGACACGGGGGGGGGGGGGGAAGGGTCGGTGCGGGGCCCGTCCCCTGAGCTGCGTGGCAAGAAGCGACCTGCCCCAGTTTGTCTGTCCTGTAGCTTGTAGGGAGAGCGGCTAGCACACTGCACACTCAGCCAGCGCTCACGGGGCTCTGCCAGCTGACCGACCGCTGCCCGCTCTCGGGCGCTCCTGTCTAGTGCAGACGGCAGAGGATGGAGATCGCATTTCCCACCCGTTTCTGCGGGTCTGGGGGTGCAGTTCCAGGCCCTGCCGCAGGGGCTGGCCCGGTGACGAGAGCCCACGGCGCCCCTCCCTCACGTTTCCTCATTCAATGCTGCTATGCACCTCTTTCCTCTGTGTTCCCGTTCCGCGTATCCGTGGTGCATGTGTCCCTGCAGAGCTTCTCCTTTTCTTGTGCGTGTGTCTGTTTGTGAGAGTCCATTGGAAGTGTCTCCCGTTCCCGGACACTGCAGTTTGGATTAACATGCGGGGGTTCCTCGAGCCCACCTGCCTCGGTTGCCCCGTCTTTAAAGTGGGAGCAATTACTGCTCTTCCGTCACCTTCGCCAGGTTGGGAGGATGAACAGCGCAACTGCCACAGGCCTCTTCTTATTCGGCTCAAGTGTCCAGCTGAGAGCACGTCAGTTTGCCTGCTAAGGCGGGTTTCTCCCTCCCCGACCTGAGCTGTTTCGCGTTCAGGCAAGCCTCCCACCACCTGCTCTTGGAAGTGCGGGTGCTGCTTTGGGCATTTCTCAGCAGCAAGGCTGGTAGATTGCATTTCACTCCTGGACTTATGACAAGTCCCCAAAGGAAATACGGCAACCGTGCCCTGAGGCAGCGCACCTGCCCAGCTATGTGCTCGGTTTTGAAGGCAGAGCATAAAAGATCTGGATTTAGACAGCAGAGACCTGCGGTCGGAGCTGCAGCCGATGTTGGTGGTAATGGCTCCCTGTCTGGGTGCTTCTCTCGGGTCTGGGAAGCAGGGGCTCAGACTGCAGCTGATCAGCTTTGACTTCCCACAAACACCTACCATGCAGGAGATGGGGACCTGGGCACACAGGGGCCGCCTCTTGTCCAACTCACACGACCCAACATGCACGTGCTCACACACAGGTGCATGCACACTCACACTCATGCACACACTCCCGTGCAGTCATGCTTACATTTCTGCGCAAACATGTATGCACACTCAACACACACATGCACCTGTGTGCTCACACCTGCACACATGTATTCACACTTGTGCGCACACTCATGCAGATACATGCATGCTGGTCACTCACGTGTGTATGCACAATCACACTCACACAGTTGCAAACATGTTCATGCATGTACATGTGTGTGCACAACTAGTGTGTGCAGTTTTACCCACATAAGTACACAGATGTGCTCACACACATGAACATGTGTGCACACTCATGCATGTGTGCACGCATGTACTCACCTATGTGCCTGCTCTTGCAAACCCAGTCATTCACACTTACATGTGCACACTGCCCTAATGCATGCAGTCACACACGTATACACTCACACATTCACTTACATGTACACACTTGTGTGTACAGTCCCACATGCACACACTTGTGCACATGCATGTAAACGCACACACATACACACATGCATACACACACCAGCCACACCAAGCTCCTTGTTTTGTAAACAGACCATATTTAGAAATGTCCCCCTTCCCACTTACCATCATGGCATGTGGCTCGGCTTACAAGCTCCTCCATTTTACAGGGAGAGCTGGTGCGGGGCTCCAGGCTCCACAGACCCCAGATGCTCTTGCGATGGCACCCACCACTCACAGCAGTGACTGGGGAAATGTCTGTCCCCTTTCATCAGGGAGCCCTGCAAACACATTTGCTTCAAAAAGATCTCACTTAGCACTAGTGATTCTGTTAATACATCTTTCTTCTCAATGCCTAGAACATGGCAGGTCTTGTAAAAATGAATATATGCCTTCATTTCTCAAAACTTTTAAGATCCCTTGAATTTTCAGCCAGATTCTCCTCTTGGGAAGAGATTCCTTTGATTTCCTTTCCACTGTGCAAAGCAGTAATTCCTTTCCTTTGTCTTGAATTTGACTTTTTTCCTATCCATGTAAGGGTCTCCACTCCCAGGATTTCTGAAATTGTTAAGTATTTAGCTCACCCAAGCCATATATGATTTTATCATCAGCCTTCACCTTCTGAAAACAGAAATAACATCATTTTTTCTTAGGAAAGCTTCATGTGACAAGTGCTGTAGCTCTGTGAGATCCTTCACATTCAGTATCCATCTCATCACACACCTGACCATCTTCCCAGTTGAGGTGAAGGACAGAGCGTCAATATTTGCTATGGACAAGCTTATCTGAGTCTGGCTTCCTGCAGAGTTTTACTTCAATCAAGTGAAGTGTCTCATGTCCCCTCATTTTTGAGATTAGGAAGAAAAGACTCAACAAAATTTAAGAGACTCGTAGAGAGTCGCATGGCCAGCTCGTAGCAGAATCTGGCTCCAAAGCTACACCCTCCTTCACTCAGAATGGAAGAGGGAATTCTAGCGCAGGGAATGTGGAGACTGGATGAAGGGAGACACTGTGCTGTTGTCTGGTTGTATGTTTTAGTCACTTATGTAGTGTGTGTACATGGCTGTGAATACATGCGTGTTTCATGTGTGCACACACATCCTGTGATTTTGCTGTTCATGCCACCTGCTAGTGTGCATGGGACCAAAAGCATCTTCCGTGGTGTAGCCCTGATGACCATCACCTTCGTACTGTGTAGTGTTCTGTGTCATGAGCAAATCATAATTTACCCTCTGCTACTGCTCACCTACTTCACCCCCCGCCATGTTTCACCTGATAAATAACACTGAGATGAACACCTCACACATTTGTCAGAATTTAAGGTGATTTCCTTAGACTAGAATCCTGGAAACAGAAAAAAATAAGACAAATATTCTGAACATTTCAATGATAAAATCCAGTGCTCTTTCCATTACAAAAATCTTTCTAAAACTATATGTATACATGGATCTCCCCCAAATCCTGTATCCATCAAATTCGACACCATCTACCAACATTGTAAAGCGTAAAATCACCTACACTATGACTGTGTTCACAAAAACACGCACAGACATGTATCTGTAGCAGCATCATTAATCATGGCAGAAAACTAGAAGTAACCAAATTATCCTTCCCTTGAAGACTGGTTTAATAAATCAGGTTATGTTCCTAAAATGGAATAGCAAGCAGTTAAAACACAAGGCAGCTCTGTTTGCTCTGACAAGGGATGACATCTTAAATTCATGAATTGTTACTGTAATCTTTTCATGTAAAATAATAAGAGTAACAATCTCCATGTCCAGGAAGGTGAAGTTTATCGAAGCCATGACCCCCCATAGAGACAGCAGCAAGGTTAGATCTGGATTCAAGGATGTCCCTCGTCCTGTGGTCGCCCTGTGTCCTCGCCCAGCCATCAAACCACGCACCACAGAGGAGGTGGTGTGACCTCTGCGTGCGTGCGGGATTCTGCCAGCAAGGAAAGGGGTGTGCCCAGCCATGCTCCTCCACTCGGTAACTCACCAGGAGCCCCGGGTCTTCACGCAGCTGTCTTTATTCTGGCCACAGCAGATCAGTACAGAGTATGGTGGGGCTGTCAGATAGACGCAGGTGTGATTCCTGTTTGGCTCCCAGTGAGCTGTTCACCCCTGGGCAAGTTACTCACCTTCTCTGATTCCTCAGCTGTTCAGTGTGGCAGGAAATCATAGCAGGGGTACCGTGGACACTTACGTACAATAACGCTTATGATGCTCTTGGCACAGTGCCTGGTGCATGATAGGAGTAAAATAAACATCAGATATGGACAGCATTGTTTCTCTTTGCCACAAGTTGAGTCAGCCCTCGGTGCCATGAGCTCGGCCATGGGGCAGTCGCAAATTACAATCACAGACTCTCCTAAGTCACAAAAGAGAGTGTCATAATGATTTGTTTAGTGGTTTGTACCTTATCCTCACTGCAATCATTAATACTTTTAAGAGAAGATGTGGTTTACAACTTAGTTATGAGATTTCGGATTGGGGTCAAAGTCCCGCTGATACAGTAGGCAATATTTTCTGGGAAGAAGGAAAGGGACACCGGAGTAGCCAGGATAATATTTATGGTTAAACTAAACTTTGGTTTCACAGACTCTTTGTGCTGAGAGTTTGAGGGTTTTTTAGAACCTGGACTATACCAGCATCCCCTCATGTGTTAGCTCTGCCCCGCTAACGGTCCTGAAGCGCTTGGTGGGTTTGGGAGACATTTTGGCAAATAGAACCACGAGAAGGATTCATGTAAAATGCACAATTTCTGTTCTGTTCTGACCTGGCCTCGCTGGGCACAGTCCCATTAGCAGATGCAAAACACTGGTGTGTAGGGGCAGATGGACACATGGCCTTGGTGTTCCCAATACACGCTGAAATTCCTTCCCATGTGTTTCTGTATGTGGATGCAGCCATCAGTGTAATTCTATTAAATTGCTTATTTGTGGTTGTTAGCTCTATCTGGTTCATGCTGTACTTACTTTCTTCACTGTAGGGTGTGATAAGAGCTTTTAAGTCCTACAATCATGCAATCCAACAAAGCCTATTTTTTGCCTTAGCTGAACTAAGCAATTTTATTTGCACTCATTTGAGAGATCAGAGTGCAATGCTGAGTTCAAGTAGTTATGTGAAATTTGATGAAACACAGTAGCAGTGTAATTACACCAATATGAGTGCATTTCCCTTTTTTGTGATTTTACTGGGTCAAATGCATCTCTGTATTAATTAAATGTGTAATTAGTTACAGCAAATGAACACACACACACACACACACACACACACACACACACACAAAATAGTCCCCTGCCCAGGTCCCTTGTCTCAGTTCTAAAATAAGATGTTCTGTGTTGTATTAGGTGGAAACAGCAGCAGACTCTGACACAGAGAGCCGAGGCTTGCGAGAATACCACTCTGTCGGCATCCAGGTGGAAGATGAGAAGCGGTAACTCAGCCCCTTCACAATATACGATGTTCCCAAGCAAGAGCGATCTGTCAGAAACCTGATTGCAAACATCTAGATCATGCTGACCATCAATAATTCATGCCATGTGTGGAAACAGGGTCATATATTTATACTTTGCAATTTATATCGTTCAAGTATGAATTAACATCCGCCTGCATCTTGTTTTTTGCGAGAGACGGGGGAATAATTCTTTCTAAAGGAATTTACCACCTATGAAAGTGAGGGGCTGACAGGCCTGAGAGCCAAAGTTCTTCATCCAAAGGAAGAACAGATAAGCTTGAGGGTGAATCAGGTGCATGTCTCCTTACCTAATAATGTTAAAGGTAAAAGACAGAGAGAGGGAAGGAAGGAAGTTTAAGACCTTAGCTATACCATGATTTCAAACCATAAAATACAGAGATGTCTATGACGGTAATGTTATTTTTGTAGCAAGAACAGGGTGATTATTTTATTTTATATTTAAAAATATATCTTGTACATTTCATAAAAAACTAATTCAATGAGAGGATTGTTACGTCTGCAACTTCAATTAGCATCTAGTCCCAGGTGACATTGCTCATCGTGGAGGGCTTTAGGACCCAGCCAATAAAGATTTTGATTGCAAAGAAATTCAGACCACAAGCTACCAGCTTCCCAGGTTCCCAGCAGAGTGCTTAGACCGCGGACAGCTTCTGCACGGGATAGGGCTTGCAGCCTTCCATCCCCATCATGGGTTTGTTCTCTTCTCCTTTGCCTCCAGCAAAGACACTAAGTGGAAAACGCATTAACCAGCTTTAGGCACAGCTGTTGCCATAGGAGTGTTCAGTTGGTGAGAAGCCAAAATGTAGAGTTAGTGTTCAGTTTGGAATAACCCCCCCTTCCCCGCATACACACAGGGTTCTCACCCAGCAATATCTGGACTCCAATTATAAGGCCTTTCCTGTCCATCATTTCAGTAATTGGCTGTGCGGGACTGAGTGGCGTTCCAATGTGTACGATGAAAATGTTTTTAAAACACCTGCTCAAGTCGGAATTTGGATTCCTTATTTTGCATAAAAGACTTAATGGGGATGATATTAAGTTATTCAGATAGGAGAAGAGACTCACGCCCTGAAATGTGTCACCAAAACTCAGTGGGGTACAAAAGTTATTTACCTGAAAGAAGCTACACAGCCTTCCTGTTGCATAGATGCAACATATGGAAGTTTTGTAAACTTGTGGCGTATTTGTCAGGGGAAGTAAATGAGCCAAGGCAGTGGACTCATGGAATGCATTACCCTCACTGCACCCCGCAATACGCTTCCGTCTTAAGTAGGCACTATTTAGGCATTGAGACTTAGGTAGATGTTAGAGGTTAATTTTTTTAAAGATTTTATTTATTTATTTGTCAGAGAGAAAGAGAGACATGGAGAGAGAGCACAAGCAGGGGGGAGAAGCAGGCTCCCCGCTGAGCAAGGAGACCCATGCGGGACTCGATCCCAGGACTCTGGGATCATGACCTGAGCCGAAGGCAGATGCTTAACTGACTGAGCCACCCAGGCATCCCTAGAGGTTAATTATTTGCAAAACCCAACGTTCTTTCGTAGCTGAAACACCAAAATAGTAGTAAAGAGAGGAAAAGACATCTTCCCCTTGAGTTGTTTGCTCGCCGCGGTGCAGGCGTGTCGTTGACGAGAGAGACGCAGGCTTGCTGCACAGAGTCAGCTCAGAAAGTCTCCCCTCTCTCTTCCCTCCCCCCTCCACAGACACGGGCGTTTCAAGCGTTCCAACAGTGTGACGGCCGCCGTCCAGGCGGACTTGGAGCTGGAGGGCTTCCCGGGACACGTCACCATGGAGGACAAAGGCCTGCAGTTTGGGCCCTCCTTCCAGCGGCATTCAGAGCCCAGCACGCCCACCCAGTACGGGGCCGTAAGGACTGTTCGGACCCAGGGGCTCTTCAGTTACAGAGAAGACTATAGGACCCCCGTGGACACTGGCAGCCTGCCACCACCCGACCCCTGGCTGGAGCCGTCCATCGAGACGGCGGGGACGGGAAGGGTGTCTCCATGCCGGAGGGACGGCTCGTGGTTTGCGAAGCTGCTGCACACAGAGACAAAGAGGCTGGAAGGCTGGTGCAAGGACATGGAGAGAGACGCGGAGGAGAACGACCTCTCAGAGGAAAGTAAGAGCGCAGTCTCCCCTCGGCTTCGTAGCACTGCAGTTGGTCAGTAGGGCCAGCAGGCAAAGGGCGTCATTAATGGGGGACGCTTCCTTTGATACTTGGGTAAATGAGAACAAACGTGCTTCCCACCACATCCCGCTCACCTCCCAGAAAAAAGATAAGGACACGGACAGAAAAACCACCGCTAACATGTTCAAGGGGATCCGTTTGGGTTTTGTTAGATCGCGAGCCCAGCGGCACTGATCCTGGTGCTGGTACTGTAGTTGGTCTCATTCCATGTACCTCTTCTGCCAAATTCTCACAGTGACTTGATGTGGAGGGTGTCCACCGTTTTTCTAGAATCGTTACTGTCCCGTGTTTATAAGGAATTGAGTCGGCTTTATATTTTTTAAGATTTATCTATTTATTTATTTGAGAGAGAGAGACAGAGAGAGATTGAGCAGGGGGAGGGGCAGAGGGAGACTCTCAAGCGGACTCCACACTGAGTATGGAGCTTGACTCGGTGCTCTATCTCAGGACCCTGAGGTCACGACCTGAGCCGAAACCAAGGGTCGGACACTTAACTGACTGCACCACCCAGGTCCCCCTTGAGTTGGCTTTATGCCAAAGAGAAGTTTGAGCTGAGTAGAGGTTGAACCGGCCAGCCCCGTGATGGTGCACGCCCAGCTCTCCCATCACCATGCTGAGTGGGAATCCATGTGACTTCCTGCCCCAGTGCTCGCAGAGCAGACCTGCTCCAGCCTCTTTCTGCCCTGATGGGTCTCTGCCTCTCTGTGTAGAAAGTGACAGAATCCCTCACTCTCCACCTGTCTCCCATTGACCCGAAGAATCCTCTCTTGAGGATTGTCAGAAGCAGCATCCTTTGTGAATCACTGCACGTGATTTCTAAACAGTTACCACCTGTCTTTTTTGATGGGCCAAGAATCCGAGAATAATTGCCACATACTTAGAACTAACATTGTCTTGACCAAAATACAGTTTCACAGAGGCATTTCTGAATGTCTTGACAAATCATGCTCTCTTGAAAGTACTTGTTCTGTGAATTCCTTTGTACATTTGCTAGCTCACTCAGAATTCTCAAGTTCAAACAGATAGCTGACGTCCTTGGGAATTGTGCCCTGCCGTCACACGTCTAGATAGCAGCTGTGATAGAATCTGTCAGTCATCATACAAATGGAAATACGAGGATGAAATTATATGGACTTACGTAACGGACAGAGTACAATGGCCCTGGGATCCATAAAGCCAAGAAACTAATTGGCATGTTGATCTCTAGCCGTTAGGACTTACGGTGTTAACCTATGAAGGAAGAGATAGATTGCCTTTAAATTACTAATTCTCTTCCCCCACATTTCTCTCTTAATCATCCAATTCCACATGTTGTTTACCTGGGTGGATAGTAGACCCTGAGTGTTTTGGAGGAAGCACTGCCATAGCAAACCATTTGAACCTGCTCCCCAGCCGCCAATGGGTGTCTCAAACTGCTTGCATGCGTTTGTCCAAGTCTATTACCTTTTTAGGGTACACTGAGTGGAGGAGCAATTACTCACAATTCTGATATTTAAAAATCACTCATTTCCTGCAGCATTTTCTCACTGGTCGGTATGTGTTTTGGCTTGGCAAAATCGTTATTTAATTGTCACAGGGATTTACAATCTTTATCACAAAGACAAAACTTGGAAAAACTAAATTGCCTAAGTTGATGCGAAATCAGGGTCAGGCTGTGGGCTCCCACTGTGTGCAAGGGGTCGACGTGCATTCTTCCAGGGGCCCGGAGCGTGCAGACCTGCAGGGCGGTCAGCCAGGACACGCGCCCGCCCTCCTGGGGCTCCACAGCGGAACCCCGCTGAAGACGTACTTGTCAGGTCTAGCTCCATAATGTGTCTATCAATTTGATCCTGTCATCATTTGAATTTACACCATTCAGGACACATCCAAGAAGTTCTGGTCTCCCTTTGTGGGCAGAACAACAGGAGACATTAGCCACTGCTGTGTTTGTAAGACAACCTAGAGCATTTGTTACCTTATCATAATTTTCCATATGTAGCATGTCCTTTTTATTTTATTTTATTTTATTGTTATGTTAGTCACCATACAATACATCATTAGTTTTTGATGTGGTGACCCACGATTCACTGTTTTCGTATAACACCCAGTGCTCCACGCAGAACATACCCTCTTTAATACCCATCACCAGGCTAACCCGTCCCCCCACCCTTCTCCCCTCTGAAACCCTCAGTCTGTTTCCTGGAGTCTATCGTCTCTCAGGGTTCATCTCCCCCTCCGATTCCCCCCCCCCTTCATTTTTCCCTTCCTTCTCCTAATGTCCTCCAGGCTATTCCTTAGGTTCCACAAGTAAGTGAAACCATGATAATTGACTCTCTGCTTGACTTATTTCACTTAGCATAATCTCCTCCAGTCCCATCCATGTTGATGTAGAAGTTGGGTATTCATCCTTTCTGGTGGCTGAGCAATATTCCATTGTATATATGGACCACATCTTCTTCATCCATTCATCTGTCGATGGACATCCCGGCTCTTTCCACAGTTTGGCTATTTTGGACATTGCTGCTATGAACATTGCGGTGCATATGGCCCTTCTTTTCACTACATCTGTGTCTTTGGGGTAAATACCCAGTAGTGCAATTGCTGGGTCATAGGGTAACTCTATTTTTAATTTTCTGAGGCACCTCCACACTGTTTTCCAAAGTGGCTGGCTAGTGAAACAAAAGCAAAAATGAACTTTGGGACTTCATCAAGATAAAAAGCTTCTGCTCTGCAAAGGAAACAGTCAACAAAACAAAGAGGCAACCCACAGAATGGGAGAAGATATTTGCAAATGACACTACAGATAAAGGGCTGGTATCCAAGATCTATAAAGAACTTCTCAAACTCAACACCCAAAAAACAAATAATCAAGTCAAAAAATGGGCAGAAGATATGAAAAGACACTTCTCTGAAGAAGACATACAAATGGTAACAGACACATGAAAAAATGTTCATCATCATTAGCCATCAGGGAAATTCAAATCAAAACCACATTGAGACACCACCTTACACCAGTTAGAATGGCAAAAATTGACAAGGCAAGAAACAACAAATGTTGGAGAGGTTGTGGAGAAAGGGGAACCCTCTTACACTGTTGGTGGGAATGCCAGTTGTAGCATGTCCTTTTAATGTAGTCATTATTTTCTAAGAATTACAGTTTAAAAGGGGATATAGTTTGAAAAGAAGAGATCTCTGCACCAGCACGTTCTGAGCACAAATCCTGTGCCAAATATTACGGGGAGGCTCTTTGCACACCTCTTTCAGAGCTCACCGCGATGTGATGCCTAGATAGCATCATCACCATCCTAAAAATAGAGAGACCTAGGCTTAAGGAGGTTAACATCTCACCCCAGATCCCACCGAGTATGGCGATGGAGTCGCGAGGCGAAGTCAGGGCCATCTCCTGTCGAAAGCTATGCTTTACCACTGTGCTGCCCGAAGCTATTGAATCACAATGTCCCTTACTGGAAACCTCTCTCCCTGCATCGCGTCCTTCCTGTGTTCTTGTGGATTACCTTCTTCCACTATTTTAGGAAATGTGGAGTCTCAGTCCTTGGCCATTTGCTTCATTCTGATCCCCTGTAACTGGGACACCCATTTAGGTTCCAGAGGGAATCCCTGAGCTGATAAAACGTAGACTTAGCTCATCATTACTTAGCCACTAGAAATTAAGGAAGGAAAGGGGGGCAAATTCCTTCTCAAACGAAACACAAAAGGTCTAACAGAAGGCTTTGACACTGAGGCATCATCATGATAAGTAATGACTGTCTTGTTATTGGGGCATTCGAGAGAGTTCTGGGAATAGTGCCATAAAGGTACTCTATACGGAATTCAATTCAATGGCCAGCAATGACCCAGATCAGCCATGATTCCATCCTCGTGGGAAATACAGTATTTAGATTTCAGTTGCCTTAATAGGAGGCATGTGGAAAGCACATTCCTCTCCAGCAAGCTATAGCAGAAAATGAATTTCTGTTGCCCCTCAACTGCATTTCCCTAAAAACCTTTTTTGAACCTTTGGGATCTTCTTCTTGGATTCTCGCATTAATATAAACATTCAACAGATATTTACTGAATACGTGCCATGAGCCAGCCACCGCCCACCGACCGTAGGCTGACAGCGAGTGACCAGCCGTGAAGACAGGGACTGCAGTGACCGGGAGCCGTGAGACCGGAACAGGACTATTTATACGAGTGGAGAACATCACGTGTAGGGGAGACAGGCAGATAGGAGCTTTAGAACCTCACAGGTGTGGGACATTTTCAATGGGGAAAATTCCAAGAAGGCTTCGTGGAGAAGGTGGCATGGTGCCCGGGCCTCTATGGGGAGTCGGATTCGGCTGCACGGTAGGGGGAGCAGAGAGGGAAGGGTAGGGGAAAGCAGCCCCATGGACAGGAGCCCCTGTCTCCAGGCTCAAGAAGAACTTCACTTCGACGTGGACTGTGCACCCGCTTGTCTTTGCTCCATCACCCCCATGCCCTTGGGCACATGCGTTTCTCTCAGGGTAGGACAGCCACTGTGTCTTCCCAAAGCTCTGCCCCTCTGCTGTCATGGGAGACCTTTGGCTCCTTGAATGCCTTGATGGTATTTGGTGCATTTATTATTCCCCAGAAGTGTCTGGCATGGTGCTCTGCTGTGGAGACATAGAAGGGAACAGGAGGAAAGAGATGGACAATCGTCATACACAAGGACGGTCACACTCCTGCTCACACCCTCGTGAAAGCACAGCATCTAAAAATCCCCCCAAGCCTCCGGTCGCCCTCATGTTGGGGCTGGGAGTATCCTGTGCCCTCCCCGTGCTGGAGATACCAGCTAGTGATTTTGTTTTTTGTGCGTTTTTCCCAGTCCTATTTAATGACTAAATACGATGGCATTGCTGGAAGCCTTGGATGCAGAGAACAGAGAATAGATCCACTTGATGCTTTTTGTGAGTTTCTTAATTTCTTTCCCGAAGTTGCCCAGATGTCTGATATTTCTGTGGACAAAGATGACACAACATTTTTATGTGTCTCCTCTGCATGCTTTGCACCTAAAACCAGCACCTATTAATCAACTGTAGACATTTCCCTAGGAAGTTTTAAAAAGTAAGATAACCTCTGATTCTTGCACTCATTTTGAGAACAGATAGAGGGTTATTGGTGACGGCACCTTTATAAAAAGCAAGATTAAGTTAAATGGCTTGCTAAACCAGAACTCTGAGCTCCGAATATTGAAATTTCCATCACATGAACTAATTTCTTCCCAAACTAAAATTTTATAATCACAGCTCACTGAACTGATTGAATGAAGTGAGATCCGTTCAGCCCTCTATGGTTAATAAAAACTATCATGAGCCCAAATAAATACTGGTTTAAGTCAGGTTCATGCAGCCTTCCTATTAAGTCATTAAAGATCCATTCTGGAGGGATTGTAAACCATTACTCCACTCATATTTGGGGATTTTTGTATTTGTTATGTTAAACCCAAAGGGTAAATGGCATAAAGTGGAACAAAACAAATAGGGTGTTTTTCTGAAATAAAAGCAATTGTCCCAAAGCTACACAGTTTTCCTTCAGTAGTGGCACAGAAAGAGAGAAAGCACGTGAGGGACTCAAAGGTGGGGCGTTTGGACAGGTGTTGGCAGGTTCTCGTGCCCAAAACAGCTAATAACCCGACACCAGCTGGCTAGATGTGTGGAACCACAGACCCCCCGGGCTGAGGGGCGGGGGCTTCGGCCATTCCCTTGTCTGAGGGTCTCCCTTTACCAGCAGAGGGAGCCTTCAAGGGGCTTGCTTCCAGGTCCTCGTGAAGCCGAGGCAGGTGCCTACAGGGATGTCCCTCACGAGCCAGGCACCAAATGGCTACGTGACACCGGAGTGGACAAAGACACGTGAGCTTGATAAACCTGAGAACGGTAACGCCTGAGACCTGAGGGGGCACGTTGGAACAAGCAGCGATTTTCCCCTGCCCGTTCATGGAAACCAATCACGGAGGAACCCAAGAGGCCGGAGAGGATATAAATATTCCCGTGATCCTTTCAAACTCTCTGCAAATTCTACAAAAATCCACTTCAGATTCTGAAAGAATAGTGTAAATGTTGTCCTGGCATTTCATAGCAAATTCAGAAAGAATGGAAAATTGGAGAAGACGCATGAAAAATAAAAAGGAGCGATGGAGTTAATCAAATTTCCTTGCACGTCAGAGGCAAGCGTTGTATCAGGTTCCTTGTCAATTTGCATTCTGGGAAGCATTAGCACTTATCTGCGGCTCTTGAAACAAAGTGTCGAAACTATGACAACATTAGGGAAGTACAGTGGAAAAGAATAAATTGAATTTTTCACTTCCAATTCTTGGCAATCATGGGAAGCTATTTGCATTAAAGGTACCAGATAGAGTGGTCCCCGCTCGCCCAACTGCAGACCCTCCTGCCATTAGCAATCAGGTCGTGAGCTTCTCCTCAACATTCACTGTCTCTCCCGAGCAATAATCAACTTATACCCTTAATAATAACTCTTCACCACATTAAATCAACACCAAGATATTGCCCATCTAGCCATGATGTGTTAAAGATTATAAATTGAAGGGCTTTATATTAATACTTCTGTTGAATTACGTTTCAAGAAGAATATGAAAATTAGGAATTAAAACTTCAATTGTATAAAACTGAATGACTTCTAATTACCATTTGAGGAAACATAGTCAGTACAAAGAAGCACATTTAATCGTCGCTTCTCTATATTCCTGCAGTGACAGCCTGATTAAAACAAGTCTCTCTAAATCTTTTCATCAGTCTTGCAGGTTACAGGGGTTTACAGGTGGAAACTCAACATTTCAAAACAAGAATAATTCCTCCACTCCGTAGCAGTGAGACCAGAGCTAGAGAAACATGTTCAATTTGGGGGATCAAAATGTGAATGAAAGGTAAAGCACTTTCACCACTCCTAGGAGACGCTCTGGCTCTGTCCCGCCACCCTCCTCCCTACACCTGCCCACCCTTCCGTCCCAGCACCTGCCCACCCCCCTGTCCCCGCACCTGCCCACCCCCCTCTCCCAGCACCTGCCCACCCCGCTTTCCCTGCACCTACCCACCCCCCTGTCCTCAGGGCACACTCAGTCCTGAACCCCGGCACCCTCCCCATTCCCCTGCACCAGCTCCCTCCCGGGGTCCTACCACCACTCCCTCCTACTGCTGCCTGGCAAATCAGATCCAGGAGGTGGGTCTGTGGGGGAGGAAAGCCCCTCTTGAAACAGATTTGCTGAACACACCTGGGCCCAGGGATCAAGAGGCATGAAGATATTTTTTAAGTCTGAGAGGATGCCACAGTGTTATCCAATTTATTCACTTTTATTAAAGTCACATGTGTCAAACTCCTTTTCTAGAAGCAGTGCAGAATTAGATACATGAAGGAATTCTCCACTCCTTCAGAATGATGAGGACCCAGTGGTTGCACAGGATGACGGCAGGTGACAGGCTGGCCACAGCTTATCTCCAAAGGGCTCAGAAAAATAAACACGCACACGTGGGAAACTGTTAATTGCTGATTCTAAGTGATGCGGACACTTTTCTTTCAGATCCTATGTGTGAAATTGTCAGTAATAAAACTCCAGGGAACAGCAAGCTGAGTTCCTTAAAGACAGATGAGAAAATAAGACAAATTGTTTAAGTCCACTGTTTCACCCCAGGGAAAATCATTTGAAGACCAGGTTGTGCACAATGTCAGGTCCTCGCCTTTTAGGGAATGAACCTTGTGCCTTACCTACTGCTGCCTTGTGGGGACTGCTGGTAACTCCAGACAAGACCTGGGTGACCCGAGCTTGTCCTTCATGCCACCTTGAGCTCTGGTCTGCTCTCTTCTCTGGACAAGCCCGGGGTCCAGAACTGTCCTGACGTAGATGAGTCGGCATCAACACACATGGGATGGTCATGGTTCTTTCCTCCCCTTCAAGGAGGTCCAGGCGAAACGCCCCCTTCCTTAACTGTCTTCCACCTGCCATTGGCAAATACAGGCTCCTGTGGCTCTCCTGGCGGGCAAGCCCGAGGTCATGTGCTCGGCTACTCTCAGCTGGAGAGCCTGGCTCCGTACCTGTGCTCCGGAGGGTCTGCAAGAGAGCCAGAGAGAAGCCAAAAGTGAGCAGGTGGGAATAACCTGCCCTGCTCCAGGAGCTCGATCTTCCGAAACCCTGTGAAAAACTTCTGTTTGTCCCTCAGGCCAACGAAATGTGGGGGTGAATGGGCTCAGGGTCTAGAGGCAGGAAACATGTTCCCCCCCAGATTCCCAAGTGCTTTTGAGAGCCATGTGAGTTGGGATCTACCAAAGCTATCGTTTCCTAAATAATTATGATGCTAATGCCCAGCAAGGACCAGGCAGTGTGAGGCCAGGGATGGAGGCGGCAGGAGTGGAGGTGCCTGGGAATATGCCCCATCAGCTCAAGACCCTGCATTTCACACACGCGGGCTCTCATTTTCCGATTCTCCAACCCGAGGTGGTCATCCCCACGCTTCTTTAATGTGTTAAGTCCTTTCCATGGACAAAACTGTATTACTTACTTTTTAAAAAAGTGCTGTCTGATTAAAGTCATACGACTTAGAAATCATTTGGAGACTTCCTGCCACATCACAGCGGGCACGGGAGCGGGAGGGAGGACACAGTCACCACGAATATCCGTGGGGAATCGGTTGGCGAGTCGACCGTGATGGGAGCCCAGGGCGGTGACGGTGACTCGGCCGCCCGCAGAGGGCCCACGGCCAGTGGCGGGAGCTCTGGACAGAGCCCAAGGCTGGGGGTGATGGGTCACAAGCACATCTCAGCCTCTCCCTGCACAGCCCCTCCCTCCAGTGTAAGATGCCCTCAGAGCCGCCACAGATTACTCCCTAGAGTCAAATGGGGTGACCAATACCAGTGTGATTCCCTAGAAATGAGGAATTAACATCTTCATATTCGTGGAGCCCATAAAAAGTAAGAAGGACTCGATGTCTTTTTTATTCCTACTTGCTGCCGCATCTTCTCACTCACCTGAGCAGCGTTGCTGAATCTTGGTGCCATAAACAGGAAAAGCCTCCCCCAGTATAGACCACCCTTCCAGACTACACTCGTCCCAACCCTGACCAGTAATATCCTAACAGCGGGTATTGCTCACACATCTTTGCATTTCCCTCAGAAATCGGACATGGGCCAGCCTGGAAAAAACTTAAGTCCGTGGCCGTGCCCTGCACCATACATTCAGAGTTTTAATCTTCAGGAAAGAAGAGTAACTCATGCTCTTTGGACTTGACTCCCTTTGTGTTACGCTCTTGCATTTGGTTTCTCGTTGACCCAGTTTTAAACGTGTTTTGTTTTGTTTTGTTCACAGTCCTCGGTAAAATCAGGAGTGCGGTGGGGAGTGCGCAGCTTCTGATGTCCCAGAAATTCCAGCAGTTTTACTGGCTGTGCCAACAGAACATGGTGAGCAAAGCCCCGGGTGTCCTGGGCCCCTTAAGCAAGCCGAGGGCCCGCTCTCTCCGCTCTGGTCTGACAAAGTACCTGGCACTTTGCAGAGCAGGGAGCGAATGTGAGGCCCGTCCCGGGCCGGGTTCGGGATGCTGAAGAGGACACTGTGAGGTGGTGCTGGGGGAGAAGGAGTGGATGGCGCAGGGGGCAGCCCCCCGGAGCCCCAGGACACCTTCAGGCTGCAGGGTCCACCTGCCCAAGAGCCGTAGGAGGGAGGCGGGGCAGGAACAGGTGTGATGTCACAGACGAGGGGGGGCCTTGACTCAACACATTAACAGCGACATTCAAAGAGATTCAGAAGAGATGGTAGAATAATTGGGCTTTCTATTTCATAGTCAGGAGTGGAATGAATATACCAGCAATAGGCAACACACTTGGCATTAAACTTGGCTCTGATCGTCCTGAACATCAAAGAGAAAGAAAAACCATATCTATGTCGATATTTACTTATGTGCATATACTTACTGCATATCTATGTACAAATCAATACACACACTTTTCTTTGTCTAACTAAAGAAAGTATCCATGTAATGTTATTTGTAGAAATAACTAAGGAGTATTCACATTACTTTACAGACTATTTTATAAATCCATACATTGATTTCTTTCAGAGCAAAGTTTTCATTAAAATGCAAGTAGGTCTGTGCATCGTGGGAGCGATGGTGCTCGGCAATTTGACTTTGTTTTGTTGTTTTAATTTGCAAGGAGACATGTGAATTTACAGAATGTTCTTACACATCAAAGAAAGCAAAGCACATCAGAGCTGCCAATTCATCCCTCTTAATTAGGATTGTTAAAAAGTACGTTTTCTCTAGCATTTTCTGGTTAACCCCGTTGAAGTTCATCACAAAATGTATAACGTGACCCCCTTATCTCCTGTGACATGAAGTTATGACCCACGTTTAGAAAGGGGGAGCAGGAAGGTTTAGCATTCCTTGGAAGGAACGCACAGCCGCGGCGTGCTCAGCTGTGGTGTTTGGGGAGCATATTCCCACCTCCTCCACGTCTGTCTGATTACTGTCTATGAAGGAACGGATTTAGGCCATTATACAGCTCTGTAGTCGGGTAAGTATAGGTAGACTCTGTCTTTAGGAACGCATTACCTAAAGCAACGGACATGCAGTTAAAACATGGAAAGATGTTATTCAACCTTATAAAATGTCCATGTCCCCTGGGCCAGAAGCAACTAATGTTAGATTTTTAAATTACCCATCCTAATGTTTTTGATGCTTCTTACACATGTCACATTGCATTTTATCCTAACCTTAAAAAAATCCTTTTTTGAGTTTTGAAGTACATAGTGTGGCTGCTTCCTTTTCTTTCGGCTTCTAGCTAGGATTTGAGGGGGAAAACAAACAAACCTCCAAAACAACCCTGCAGCATTGGTTGCAGGAGGGGGTGGGTGTCTGAGGTGGCCCGGCCAGAGAGAGATGCTGCAGCATAAGCAGATGCCTGTGTCGGAAGTCCAAAGCCACATTGCTAGCTGCTGGAAGATTTGGGTGGCTAACCAGTTTGAAATCAAAGGAATGACCCCAGAAAATAAGCCAGAGCCGCCCCCCCCACCCGATGTTTAGGATGGACGGAACAAAGTAGATATATTCAAGGCAAGGACAAACGGACGATTCACTGCATAACGAGAATGCAGAGCAGAGTGGGAAGATCTGCCCTTGCACCTGTAGGGAAACACGGGTTCCCTGGACTCCTACGGAACCTTGACTGGATCGCCCGATGGAAGAACCTAGTGGCACCCGGAGATCTTGGAGAATCAGAGGTTTATTTAACTCTGGCGGGCTCAGAGGAGTGTGGTCTCCAAAGGTCTGAGCCCCGAGCACAAACAAAGGGGGCAATTTATACACTTCTACTTCCACACACTGGGCACTCTTGGCGCGTGTGCAAAGCAGGGCGGGGAGAAGAACCTGGATTGGTGCACGCGGGAAGCAGATCAAAGAGAAGGACCCGGAAGAGCCCGGGGCAAGGACTGGGACTCTCTCTGGCTTGGTTGGCCATCTTAGGACACAGATTTTCCTTATCATTCCCCCCCCTTTGATGCCCCTTTAAACATCTAGTTTACAGGGCATCATTTTCATTCTCTAAGGGGCAATAGTGAGTAAGGAGTAACTGGAGTCTGGTTTTAGCAGTTTGAGCAGTGATAAACCTAGTAAGGGCATTAAGAATACAAGGACCAAATGCTACTATGAGGAGAAGCAATAGGAGGGGGCCGACGAGGGGGGCGAACCAAGGGAACCACTGTGAGAGGGTATCCCACCAAGTTGTCCACTGGAGTGATTCCCACCGGCGATGTACTCGTTCCTGTAATTGGGTCAGAGTTTCTTGGACCACCCCCAAATCATTAGCATAGAAACAACATTCCTCCTGTAAGAAAGGCAGAGCCCCCCCTGCGCTGTGTGAGCAAGTCGAGCCTGCGCCTGTTTTGGAGGACCACTGAGGCCATTGAATCGAGTTGGCTCTGCAGGGCCAGGGCCGACTGAGTGAGGGCAGGAAAATCCACTGTGTGTTGTTGAGTTAACCCCTGGTACTGAACCTGAGACATCCCAATGCCAGTGGCGCCGAGAGCAACACCTGATGCAGCCGGCAGACTCACGATAAGAGGGACGGCTGCAGGGGAGCATCGAGGATGGCTAGGGGGTCCCCATATATGTGGGGCATCACTCCCGGGGAGGACTGAAAGATCGGGTAAGAGACTGGCAAGTGTGCATGACTGATCACACAAGGTGGTGCAGATGTATACACCTTGATCACAAGCCAGAAAAGTGTTGTTAGGTGCACAGACCCAACTGTGGCCCGTGATGGGAGAGGAAGAGTTTCCATACAGCGGTACCGGAGCCAGAAAGGGATAATCTGAGGTCCCCGGTGCCGAGGTGGGAGGTGACACGGTAGATTGGTTGAGGATGACACGTAGGTATTGGACGGGACCGGACTTCATACAGATCCAGCAGTCAGACGCTAGGGGTGGATTCGAGCGGTTGGTTAACAGCTTGGTGGGAGGCGTTAATCACACCTAACAGTTGCGCTATAGATGCTTGCTGCGTGTGGATGGGGGACCCGGGGATGCGCCAGGGTGAGTTATTTTCTGTCTGACTCTGGGGGTTTGACTGCAAGGCTTGGGGTGAACATGGACTTAATCATAAACTTGGCCATGGGGTAGGTCCCCATAGGGTGATACTGGCCCAACAGGAGAATGATTCCTGTACCCATGACGTGGCACTGGGTTCTAGGACCAGGGCAAGAGGGTGGGGCGGCGTTGCATGACAAGGAAATCCGGATGTCACTGCGCTGTTTGAGGTGCCACCTGATGGACCATCGTTCCATTCCTGGCCAGATCACCACCCATGATGGACATCCCCAGGCTCGCAAGCAGAACTGAGGGCAGGTGTTTGGCTGTTGAGGTGTAGGGCCCCCACAGATGTAGATATCTACCAGCTGGTAACCTGAGTGAGGGCCATGGTAGGAACACCGTCTATGAGGTTCCCAGGAGGTATCAAGAAGCTGGCATCCATCAAAATACAAGTTAACTTTTGGTGTGTGCCCATCCCAGCTGGAAGAAGTCAGTGGAGGCGCTGGTGTGGGATTCAGGGGGATAAGCTGGAAAGTCCATTTGCCAGTAACGGTGATACGAGAGTTTGCCCCTCTTGCCTGGCTGGGCAAGCTAGAGGCAGTGCGGAGGAACAGCACACCAGGTAGTAGAAGACCGGGACTGCCTGGGGCCAGGAAAACCATGGTGAAATGCGCTCAGGAGCAGACAGCAGAGGGCCAGTAAAATTGGGATCTGTGACCTTAGGTAGAGAGAGCCATCATGGCTAACCCATCAGCAGATGAAACCCGTGGACCAGTAAGTGCAGCAATACACCCTAGGGACACCCAATAAGCAATGGCAATAGTAAGCCTCTGGGGGAAAGTCCAGTCAGGAGGGGCGACAGTGTAGAGTCTGACTTCCAAGATGAGGGAAATCACGCCGATGAGAGCCAGGGACCACGGTGAGCAGGTGTCCATCAGTCGGTGGGGTCTCGTTGAAGGTGAAGCCAGAGTGGGTTCATGAGGTCTGGCTGGACTCTCCACTGGCACGGCTCCTCATCCGATGATGAGCTTTCTTCACTCTGGAGTGGTGGACCCATGGGGTGACACCTGAGACCTTGAGGGCAGTAAGGGGTGGTTAGAACAATAGTGTGGGGCCCTGTCCACTGTGGTTTGAGGGGGTCTTTCTTCCAATCTTTGACCCAAACTGAGTCCCCTGTCTGGAAGGAGTGTACCTGAGACCCTAAGGAGATTGGGGCCCTCTCAGTGCTGTACTTTTGTAATTTATTTAGGGTGGCCCCCAGGGCCTGAAGCTGCTCCTGTATCCCTTTATCTCCAACCTGATGCAAGTTTCCTAGAAGGCTCCCCAGGCCGGAGGGTGGGGGGGCGTCCATATATTAATTCGAATGGGGAGAAACCTGACGTCCTGGGCATGCAGTGAGCATGCAGGAGACCTGGGGTAGCAGATCCGGCCATGGGAGGTTAGTCTCCTGACAAAACTTTGCTAAGGTTCTCTTGAGGGTGCAATTCATTCGCTCTACTTTTTCTGAACTTGGGCCGGTAAGCAGTGTGGATTCTCCAGGTGATGTTGAGAGATGTGGTCAAGACCTGTACAATGTCTGCCACAAATGTGGTTCCATTGTCACTATGGATTGTTAATGGCAGGCCGAACCGGGGCATGATCTCCTGCAAGAGGACTTTAGCTACTTCCCAGCTTTGCTCCATCCTGGTCGGGAAGGCTTCGACCCACCCAGAGTGTGTGCATACTATTACTAGGAGATATCTGAAGCCCCTGCTCGGCTGTGCATCTGTGGAGTCTACCTCTAGATCTTCGAAGGGGCTTGCTCCCATCCTCTGGACACCTGGCGGGGGCCGTGGTGCAGACCAAGCATTATCTTTAGCACATGTTATGCAAGTTCACT